TCCCTGCAATGGAACATAAGATTGCATCATACAACAATAATATGCTCGAACAAAAACAAGTATAACCCCGATATTTTTGCTTGCTTTCTTTTTTGTTTACTACAGACGTTTTTAATTTGTAGCTTGCTCATTTATTTAGTTGTTTAGTTGTTGCTGCAATTGTTAATTTCTTGATGTCTTGATTATTTTCTAACTTATTCGTTTACTTTGTTTTGCACTTGCTCAGTTGCTTCTTTCTTTTTGCTCTGTTGCTTAGTATACCGCAGTTTTTTATGCATTTGCTTTCATACTTTTTGCATACATTTTTTATTCTTATTTTCTTTCATTTTTTAAGTGTTTGTTTTTTGTTTCACTTCCCTATTTCATGCTTTGCTTTCATATTTTTAGTTATTTGCCTGGCTATTACCTGTTCTTGTTTGTTTAGTTACTTACTTGTTTTCCTTTTGATCATTTTTATTTTACATGCGTTGCTTAAAAATTTGTTTACAGATTTTCTAGTTTACATAATTTTTTAATTGTTTGCGTGCTGTTTCTTTGTTTTGTTCTGCTATTCGCTGTTTATTGCTTAGTTACCACGACTTATTATTCTGTTTTTGCTACTACTTCTTATTTTGCTGCAGTTTCTTTTCTGTTTATACACCTCCTTGCCTACTTTTTGTTTACTTGTATGTTTACTTTAGTATTTAGTGGCCTAAGTATTTCCTTGCTTATTTTTCAGTTAGCCGGTTATTTTCTGGCATGCTTACTTTCGACTCATTTGTTGCTTAAGTTTTTTATTTCCATGCTTACTTTAATTAATTATTTATTTGCCTATTATACTTAATGGTTTGCACCGATGTCTATGAATGATCGCTAAAACGACTGAATTGAGTTTTAATTTTCGTTGTAACTTAATTTTTCATAACAGGGTTAAACTATGATAAATAAATCATTTTAAATAAATTTAAGGTGTTAATGAGGTTTTCTGAATGCTAAGAGTGCACTATAACCTTGTTTCTTTGTGAATGTAGCTTCATCTTTTTTATCCTTTCGTAGCGGCTGAAAGAAGAACGCGATCGTCAGCGGTTCTCTAATTTTTTCATTCGAGAGACGAAAGTGAACGAAGAAAGAAGCGAGAAGCAGGTGCTATATTTTTGTTACATACATTTTTTTATAATCTGAGAAA